AAATATAATGTTTTATTAACACTACCAATAAAGTTTTATGTTAACATTTTATAATGCATAATAAATCTGAATACAATGTGTAATTAATTTTTATAATATTTATAGTCTCATTTATAATACAGCGTGTCCCAAAAAAATTGGCATCATTTGAGGTGTGAATATCTGAGTAACTACATGTCGTAGGCAAATGAAATTAAATAGGCTTCATGTTGAACAATACAAGATTTATTTCTCAAAATTTGAACAAGAAATTCAGAGGGATGTAAATTTTATAACCAATTTCACAGCTTCACAAATGTTCAATATGCGCACCGCCTGTGGCACGACACACGTCAAGTCGGTAGTCCAGCTCCTTTCTCTTTGAATTTTTTGTGCCGTGTCCAAATCTGCTTTCCAGTTGGTGCATTTTTATTGAATTTTCTCGAAAAATGCTGCTGCACACTCTTGTTTGACTGTGTTCGAGCATATTCTAACACACTAAATGCATTTCCATTTCTAGTGAACTCCATTCTTCAACCTGAACAAAAACCATTAAAAACTTGGTTAGTTTCTACACATTTTGTTAAAATTTGAGATCATTTGAGGGAGAATTGGCTGTGGTACTAGACTATGAAATTATATCAATTTTTTTGGGACACGCTGTATTTTATGGATGTATTATAGCGTGTCATCAATGTGTTACTAGTTATTTGTGTCACTATTTATAGACATGATATCCATAGAAAATCTCATAAATTATTTTTGTACATTCCTGCTGCAGGAAAGAGCTTGAACATTCTGAGAATATCAGGAGAAACACTTTTACCTCATCCAGGTCTTAAAAACATCTGACTCCAGCAGCAGAACCTGAGAGTTCAGATGAAATCAGCAGAGACCGTGTGTAGCACAGAAGAGCACTGACTTTATATGATGGGAAATGGTGGCTAGCGCTGATTCTGGACATGATTTTTAATGTCTGCATCCCAAAAAAGCTTATTTTGAAGACTAGTAAGACAGTAACCTTGTGTGCTTCTGCAGGAGGTTCTACACATCATATTTCACCCCAACAAAAAGAAATACAAACACATATTAGCTCTTAACATAATATAGAGAGCTTCTGATACAGGTTATTTTTTGAGACCCAGTGTTTTTCTCTTTACAGTCTTACTAACTGTTTATATTGCACTTCATAATCAAGTAGCCCATTTAGTACCTTCAGATATTAATAATTCATAGATTTGCTATAAATGTAGGAACATTACATAAAATCTAAATTTTGCAATGATGATTTAAAAAAACGACTGAAATATGAAAATAACCTCCCCCAATAAATGAACCTGTTGTAGTAATTTATTAAGATGAGGTCAGTTGGTTTAAAGTAAATTATTAGGGGTTGTGTGACTATTAATTTCTACTAGCTGACTAGTCATTCAAAAAATACAAAATTCACTCTGTTCTACTCCTACATGGCCTGCAAGCAGTAGCAGCTCTTTAGATAAGCCTTAAAGAGTGAGATGTAGGCCTACTGAACCAGCAATCATTCAAGCTGTACTGTTTTAAGAAGCTGTTAGTCCTCACACATATGAAATCTTATGGCAATATTAAGAGGCTAAAAATTCCAACAACCAATGGTATCAGCAAAAATAATTTTACATTTATGTTTTAGATTTAAATTTTATATTACAATAAAATTTATATTACAATAACTTCCACATCTAGAATGTGCTCTACTGAGGGATGGTGAACAGTTCTTAGTTGTCACACGTCTTAAAAATATATAAATAATAAAAACTCACAAGTTTAAATATTATTGGTTTTGTATTGCATCCAGCAGATGCTTCAAGCAAAAATATGTACTTGTTGGCAAATAGTTGGCACTATTTTTACCAAACTCCATAATAATACCCATATATTTTTGATGAGATGATTAACAAGCACAAAAGGATGTGATTTCCATGTGTCCAAATACTTTTTGCCATGTAAGATAAGGTAGAATAATACTTTCTTGTCCATTGTCAGGAAAATCTGTCTGGCCCATACCAGCTCAACAAATCATCAAACAAGCAAATACAACAATTCCAGAAATACGTATATAAATAAAAAGTCAATACATAAAACACACAGTAGTCAACACTATGTACATGTTCGTTTTTCAGCCCCCTAGCTTGGCTTGAGTGAGGAAACAAACACACAAATAAACAAACAAACAAACAGACATACATACAAACAAATACGTAAATGATAGGCACAGTTCTCATGTTCATACTCTTGTGTACGTCCACACCAGACTTCTGTATCTCAGCTTGTTTAGTGTTGATATTTAGCAGAAAGTAAAAATTGCTTGTACTTGTTCTGCAATTTGGCATCTAACACACTTTCTTGAGGACAATAGCTCCTCATGCAGTACATGAGAGTGGTCCCAGACGACTTTGGGATCCAGTGTAATATCTAACTAGTTGCATGTTTTGAGTTGCCGGCAATATAATTTCTAGTCAACTTGATAATTACACAAAACTAATCAAAAATAGGTCAGCTCTTCTACACAGGAATCTGATCTTAGATCAGCTCTTCTACACAGGAATCTGATCTTAGATCAGCTCTTCTACACAGGAATCTGATCTTAGATCAGCTCTTCTACACAGGAATCTGATCTTAGATCAGCTCTCCTACACAGGAATCTGATCTTAGATCAGCACCCCTACACAGGAATCTGATCTTAGATCAGCACTCCTACACATGAATCTGATCTTAGATCAGCACCCCTACACAGGAATCTGATCTTAGATCAGCTCTCCTACACAGGCATCTGATCTTAGATCAGCAATTGCACACAGGAATCTGATCTTAGATCAGCAATTGTACACAGAATTCTGATTTTAGATAAGCACTCCTACACAGGAATCTGATCTTGGATCAGCTCTGCTACACAAGAATCTGATCTTAGATCAGCACTCCTACACAGAAATCTGATCTTAGGTCAGCTCTCCTACACAGGAATCTGATCTTAGATCAGCACCCCTACACATGATTCTGATCTTAGATCAACAGTTCTACACAGGAATCTGATCTTAGATCAGCACCCCTGCACATGATTCTGATCTTAGATCAGCAATTCTACACAGGAATCTGATCTTAGATGAGCACCCCTGCACATGATTCTGATCTTAGATCAGCACTCCTAGACAGGAATCTGATCTTAGATCAGCAATTCTACACAGGAATCTGATCTTAAATCAGCTCGCCTAAACAGGAATCTGATCTTAGATCAGCAATTCTACACAGGATTCTGATCTTAGATGAGCACTTCTACACAGGAATCTGATCTCTGATCAGCTCTGCTACACAAGAATCTGATCTGAGATCAGCACTTCTACACAGGAATCTGATCTGAGATCAGCAGTTCTACACAGGAATCTGATCCTAGATGAGCACTCCTACACAGAAATCTGATCTTAGATGAGCACTCCTACACAGGAATCTAATCTTAGATCAGCACTCCTACACAGGAATCTGATCTTAGATGAGCACTCCTACACAGGAATCTGATCTTAGATGAAAACTCCTACACAGGAATCTGATCTTAAATAAGCACTTTTACTCTGAGAAGCTTTGTGAATATGAGCCCATGTCTCTGTTCTGTTCACTGCTGATAGTCTTAGGGGTGCAGTTAATAATCACAGATAAATTCTTGTTTGTGATGTTTGGAGAGACACTTTGAAAGCCAAGTTTTAACAGCATTAAATCTGATGAACCTCATGTTTGATCAGGGACTCTCAGGTTGGTGCTGGTGAGTCACAATCAAGACTTTAATTGTGCTGTTTACAGTAAATGTTTACCTGTTTTTAGAGAACCTGAAAATGTTCCTGGCAGTGAATCAGTGCTTTTCTGAGTTTTAAAACACTTTCAACCATAGAACAAATCATATTGTTATTGTGTCATTTTGCAATATACAGTATGTCTACTGGACCCCAGGAAAAATATTATGATAGCAGCTAATAGGGATCCTAATAATAAACAACAAAAATTATTTGGCCTGCTTTCACTTGACTCAGCTTATTCTACTGCTTGCAAGATATCTGACAGTACTGCCCCTGTCGCAGCGTTTGCATGTACCAATAGTGTTTTATAACAGAACACTGGCCTATTACAAGACCACCTCAACACTCCAATGTGAATTTGCCCAGCAAGAAGTAAGCTGGATTTTGAAACATATGAAACTAATTACTTAAAACTACCAAGTATCAAAAAATGCATAAATAAATATTGATTTTTATTTCCTAAAGACTTGGTGTTTGTATCCATGAACTAATAGGTCTGCTTGTTTCAAAATGTAGAGTGCTGGTTGGCTGTGAAAATTACATTCTGCAGTCTGTTAAAATCAGTAAATATGCCCATTTTCAGCACCTCATACTCTTTTGTGATTTATGCCATGCACACTTTTTGTTTGTAATTAAAAAACTAATATTGAAAAACTTATTATTCAGGAATTAGTATCAAAATTATGTTATTAGTATTGGTATCAACAAAACGAAATTATATATAACCATCCTTGGTAAAAAGCCAGTGTGGACTGAATGATCTTTTCTATCATGGTTTCTCCTTTTAATTGTGGATGTGGATAGAAGTTATTTTTTCTAATTTTGTATTGCTGCTAAATTTCTACTTTTCCATTCATATGTTCTGTAGCTCTTTTTTTTAATCATTTCCTTTGTGTGGTGGGTCCATTTTGGTTTTTGGTACCCAAGCAGGTGGGGAACATGGATCATTAAAATACATTAGATTAACATGTTTGTTTAGTTCAGGTTATACCTAGGACACATGCTGCTACAGTCATATGGAGAGATGGGTGCTCTAATCACAAATGTTGTGTTGCATAGTGTGGTGACTGCTGTGTTCAATATTGGGCCAGATTCAAAACCCAAAGATTAAGTTATTAAAGAAACCTCTTAACTCATGTGACACTGGATCTCCTAAACCCCATTTTAACTGTTCTTTGTGCTGTGTTTGTTATTCCTTTGCAGACTAGCTGGCTGTAATCTCACAAAGGACTCCTGTGAGGTTCTTTGCTCTGCTCTTCAATCAGCAAACTCTCCCCTGAAAGAACTAGATCTCAGTAACAATGATCTGCAGGATTCAGGTGTGCAGGTGCTCTCTGATGGACTGAAGAGTTCACACTGTAAACTGGAGATACTCAGGTAAGTACTGTATAAATTAGATTTTAAACTAAAATTAGTAAGATCTGACATTCCATAACATTCAGAAATGCATAGATAACAAAATGGTGCCAAAAGGTTCAGTTAATATCACGCATCCATTGAGCTCTCAGAGAAACCCAGACTTCATATCCCAGAATCCTCTGGAAGATCACATAACTGCTGAGCTTCCCTCACACTCTGTGTCTCACCTGTGTGTTGGTCATATGAATTCCATAGTTTAGTTTAAAAACCTGGGCTTTAGTTGGAGATAGTTGTGAGGTATTGTTTCCACTAGTGAACTACTGAGCATTATATCTATTGTTTGTATCCTGTTTTTGACCATTGCTTTGTTATTTCGATTCTGACTTTTACACTGCCCTTTGGATTGTTTGCTGGACTTTTCTGATTCATGTTTTTTGACCATTTTTGCCTGTTTCTTCGACTACATCTTTTGCCTGCCCCTTTTTGTTTATTAGTGTTGTGTTATGTTTACCGTTGTCCTTCTGCTATGTTTTTTGGATTTCACCCACGCCTGTTTTTTGACTAAGATTCTGGACTTTGACTCTGCTAGTAAAGTCTCTGTTGTGTTTTCAAACTGCAAGCATCTGAATCTTGTTGGCATGTTACAGTTAACAAGAGTGTAACAATTTTATGATCTTCAGTCTGTGTTTGAGGACAGCAAGGGAAGTTCATGCTGTAGCCTTTTTTGTTCAAATCTTCTCTATGTTGTAGAGGAGAAATCTGTGTAACCAAGTCAGGTTTGCAACATGTGCTGGAAAAGATAACTGATTGTCCAGGACTACACCAGGGCTGTAGACGGTGCATCTTCAGATGGAAAGACCACAGAGTTCTCAAAGATCACAGTGAGGACCTTTATTTCTAGGAAAGTGTAGCAACTCAGTCCTGCTGGGCTTCAGCTTCAGGTGAGGGCTGCTATCTGTGATGCCAATCTGCAGTGTGTCAGTTTGACACTAGACTGGTTGAGATCCTGGAGCTGAGTCAGAGTAAAAAAGAAATGTAATTGTTTATAGGCAGAGTGTTGAAGGATTTCTGAAAGGAAAGAGAGACACAGGTTAGTAGTCGGTGACATTGGAGCAGTGTAGTGTTGATTTCTGTATTACAAGAATGATCCTGGCAGTCTTGTTTGTGTCTGTCAGCATCCCTTGTAATTAGTGGTTTTGGACACGTTCATTGCTAATAAGTGAATAAAATCCAGTATGCAGCCATAACATGACACACACTGGCAGTAGAATTGGCCATGCTGTAGAGCTCAGTGACTTTCAGTGTGGCACTGTCAGAGGATAGCATCATGTCAGCTGACCAAAATTCTGCCTAATTTGATCTTCCCTGGTCAGTTGAGCCAGACCACTAAAAGAATAAGACAGTTGAATGCTGAAGCATGTAGCATGTTAAAATCATCAGTCTTCGGCTGCAGCACTAAATACTGACTTCCAAACTACCTCTGGAGACAATGCCAGCAAAAATGTCAGTAGCCCCCTTGTAGAACTTAAGCCCATATATATATATATATATATATATATATATATATATATATATATATATATATATATATTATGAAATAAAACTATGATGTGTACTGTTGTACACATTTCCATATGTGCAGTTAGTGAGTCTGGGGTAGATAAATGAGATGTAGGGTACACAGGAGATAGCATATTGATTTAGAAATCTTAGACAGAAGATATGTATACAGCAACATATTAGTTTATATGTGTAGTATAGATTTACTAGATTGGAGGTGCAGTAAGATCAGAGTAAATCTGTTTTGATGTGGATGAGGTGTGGATTGTCCATGGAGATCATCATGATGATTCAGAGGTGTATTGACAGGCCTATAGACCGATACACCAGCACTACTGGCTGTTCAGCAGTCTGATGGCCCGGGGGAAGAAACTGTTTTGGAACTGGCTGGTTCTGGACTTTATGCTTCTGTACCTCCTCCTGTTTGGCAGTTGTGAGAACAAACAGTGGCTATAAATCCAGGGGGTTTGGGAGCTGGACCCAGGTGATGTTCCACCCTCTGCAGAGCTTTCTGTTCAATGGCAGTGCAGTTCTCATACCAGGAGGTGATGGAGCTGTCAGAATGCTCTGCACAGTATATGTGTAGAATGTTCTGAGATGTGGGGGTTCATGCCAAACCTCCTCAGCCACTTGAGGTAGAAGAGGCGCTGTTGTGCCTTCTTTACCACCTGTGTGGTGTGTTCGGTCCATGTCAGCTCCTCTGAGATGTGAACACCGAGGAACTTGAAGCTGCTGACCCTCTCTACAGTGGCTCCATTGATGGTGATGGGGTGTGCAGTCTCTCTTGCTTCCTGAAGTCCACTATGAGCTCTTTCTAGCTATATGTGGGCAGGAGCAGGATGGAGGGATGATCTGATTTGCCAATCAGAGGTTGGGGGAGGGCTTTGTACGCCTCATGGAAGGAGGAGTAGCAGTGATCCAGTGTGCGTGTGCTTCATAAGATGTGTCGGAAGTACTTTGGAGCAACTTCCTTAAAGTTTGCTTTGTTAAAGTCCCCAACACCAATGAAGGCAGCCTCCGGGCGCGCAGTCTTCTGCCTGTTAACAGCCTCATACGAGTGTCAGGTCTGTATCAGTCTGTGGTGGGATGTACATGGCGGTGACAATGACCCCTGAATCTCTCTCAGCAGCCACAGCAGTCTGCACAAGATGATTAGATTTTCCAGGTCAGGGGAGCAGAAAGACTCAATGAAGTGTACATCCCTCTGACCACACAAAGCATTGTGGATCACAAAACATACACCTTCTGTCATGCATCCCTTGGACTCAGAGGTCTTTAAGGACTCCATTTCCCAGAATCCCCAGGGGGATCACGTGATCTTCAGCCCTTCATCTCACTCCAATCACTGCTCTGTTTCCGGAGTATTAACTAGTTACATCTGTTGTCATATGATTAGTGTTAGTATAAAGCCTGGGCTTGTAGACTAGTTTGTTCCAAGGCATTGCTTCTTATTCTAAGAGCTACTGATCTGTTTTGTGATTTTTCCGGTTCTGACTGTGTTTTGGTATTTTGACTTTTGCCCTTTTTGCCTTTGCCCCTTGGACTCTGGTTGCCAGGTTATGTTTGTTTTTGTGTTTTTTGTCATTTCTGGATTTGACCTTTGCCTTTTCACTGACCATGTTTTTGGACTGCGATTCTAATATTAAAGCCTCACTTTCTCTTTTTATCCGCAAGTGTTTAAGTTATTCTGCTGAAAATGCAGATGGCAGATCTGGAGGCGTTTCAGAAAGCTCTTAAGGAGCAGGGCCAGTTACTTGGTCATCACCAGCAAGTATTAACAGGGGTAACACATTCACTTGAGTCACTTGCTCACCAACAGTCTGAGCAACAAGCCCAGCTGGCACAACTAGTGGCTAGCGTTAAGGGTCTGGCTGATCAGCTTCAGACCTTAAGCCCCACTGGATGGGAAACGAATCAACGAAGTCAAGTCAAAGTTTATTTATATAGTGCTTTTTACAACAGGTGTTGTCACAAAGCAGCTTTACAGAAAAAATCAGGGTCCAAGTCCCCATGACAAGCCAATGGTGACAGTGGCAAGGAAAAACTCCTTAAGAGCAAGAGGAAGAAACAATGAGAGGAACCAAGACTCAAAAGGGGAACCCATCCTCCTCTGGTCGACACCGGCTGGCAAACAGCGTTAATATAAAATATGAGAATACAAAACAGGGAAACACATGTGGAGCAATGGTTAATTAGATAATTTGAGTTTATGCAGCAGCAGCATGTGGAGGGTCAGTTCATGTGGTGAGGTTTGCAAGTGTTGTACAACATGAAACTCCATGGTGGTCAAAACGGTGCAGATCAGCCAACAGAGATGGAGCTCTGGTGACTCTAGCAGCTCCCTCCCTCGCTCAGGGACTCAAATAAAGGGAGGGAGCACGAGAGAGAGAGAGAGAGAGAGAGAAATTGATTAACAGGACAGGTCCGTTTATGGAGAGATATTAGTGATTTAATAGTGCAACAACTGATATTAGCAAAATGCTTGTGCAAACAGAGATTCATAGTTTTGAGTCTAGTTTTTAATGTAGAGAGTGTGTCTGAGTCCTGAACAGAGGTCGGGAGATGATTCCACAATTTTGAGGCTATGTAGGAAAAAGCTCGACCCCCTGCTGTGTTTTTCTAACTCTAGGAACTGCCAGCAGTCGTTATTTTGTACATGTGGGTTCATAAGACTGAATTAATTCACTAAGATACTGCGGGGCCATTTAATGATTTATACGTTAGAAGAAGGATCTTATACTCTACACCAAATTTAACAGGTAGCCAGTGTCCTTCTAAGGACTCTTGTAGCTGCATTCTGGACCAGGTGGAGCTTATTTAGTAAAGTGTTGGAGCATCCAGCTAAAGTGGTGTTACAGTAGTCCAGCCTGGAGTTTATAAAGGCATGCACCAGCTTTTCCGCATCATTTAAGGCGAGAATATTGCATAGTTTATGTTACGCAAGTGAATGAATGCAGTTCTAATAATGTTACAAATGTGTATCAATAGAGAGACTGGAATCAAAGATGACGCCTAGATTTTTTTTTACAGTAGTGCTTGGAATGACCATGTTGCCATCTAAATTTAATTCAAAATTAGAGAGTTGAGATTTCTCTGCTTTGGGTCCAAGTAGTAGGACCTCAGTTTTGTTAGGATTAAGAAGAAGGAAATTGTTGGTCATCCAGCTTTTGATATTTTTAACACATTCTTCAAGATTATTCAGATTTAGAGCCTCATTTGGTTTAGCAGATATGTAAAGTTGCATGTCATCTGCGTAGCAGTGAAAACAAATGTGGAACCTGCAAATTATGTTACCAAGAAGTTGCATGTACAGAGAGGAAAGCAGCAGCCTGAGCACAGATCCTTGGGGGATGTTATATTCTACTAGCGTGCGATCAGAGTGTTTATTGTTAACACTGACAAACTGATAACGGTCTGTCAGATAAGATTGGAACAATGACAAAGCCTGTCCTTTGATACCAACCAGATTTTGCAGCCCGAGATCTAAAAGGACTAGTATGCAAATATGGCCACTATCGAGAGACACGATCATTTACTGTACTTAATGCTGTTTCATTACTGTAAAAGGATCTAAAGTCAGACTGAAACATCTCATGGAGAGAGTTTTCTTGTAGATAGGAGCCCAGTTGATATGAGACCACTTTGCAATGAAGGGGAGATGGGAAATTGGTCTATAGTTGGTGAGTTCATTGGAATCAAGATCCTGCTTTCTCAGTAGGGGTTTAACGACTACAAGTTTTAATGATTTTGATCCCAGACTGAGGGATGAATATATTATAGACTGCAGGGGTTTAACAACACAGGGGACAACCTGTTTGAGCAGTTTTGTAGGTACTGGGTCAAGAATGCATGTTAATGATTTGGATGAGCTAATCAGTGTGGCTAATTCATTTGGTTGGATAGGACTAAAAGACAGCAACTGGACTTTTGGGCTGGCAGGTCACCCATCATATTGTGATATTAGATCTATAGGCAGATTTGTAGTCTAATATTTTGTATTTTATCATTGAAGAATCTGATAAAATCATTGCTGCTGTATGTTGTTTGAATATCGTCTTCAAACTATTTAATGTTACCTGTTAGTTTGGATATAGTCATGAACAGGATCTTAGGATTATTTTTGTTCTTCTCAGTTAGTGATGAAAAATGCGATGCTTTGGCTGCATTTAGGGTACACTTATATTCTATGATGCTGTTTTTCCATTCAATTTGGAAACAGTCTAGTTTTCATATATGCTATTTACGTTCCAGACTGCGAGCTTTTTGTTTTAGTATACATGTATGGTTGTTGCACCATGGTACAAGCTTTTTTCTTGTAACTTTTTTTTCATCTTAATCGGTGCCACATTATCAAGAGATGACTGAAGTGTGGATTGCAGAATTTCAGTATTGTTTTCAAGATCATCGAAGCCCAACGGGGCAGGGATGATTGATAAATCTGGTAAACAATGTCTAAAATAAAATCTGCATTTAAATCTGTGGGAATAACATAATGGTAAGCAATGCTGGAAAACTACAATCAGTAATCTTAATGCTTGTATGTAAGAACAGCTGTTTTTCAGGTGACTGAGAACATCAATGCAGGACATGATCAGACTGTCAGCAAGAACAGTCTGTCCACAACTATACAGAGAGAGCTATTATTATAAAGCTGCAGTGCAAAAACCCCTTATTACTAAGACAAATGACCATCTGAGAGGACAGTCGTGTAGTGGTATAAAAACCATCAGCACTGGTCTACTGAGATATGGAGAACAGTGATATGGTCAGATGAGTCATCGTCCACCATGTTCTCCACAAGGGGGTGGAGAACATATCTGCAATGTTCACCAAGAGAACAGTACAGGCCTGAATGCTGGACCTCTACAGTGGGGGGGTGTCTGGTTTCTGGCATGGTTTGCGGCCACTTGTCCCCTTAGAAGTAAGAGTCACTGCAGATCAATACAAAGTTATTCTGACTGAGTGACTTTATCTTATGATGACGCATTTCTGTTCTGATGGGAGGAGCCCCAATCCACAGAGCATTAGGGGTCACTAAATGATTTAATGTTGATGAAATAGTCAAGTGACAGATTCATAGTCAACTAAGAACATTAATAACCACCCTAGTCAGGTTTACTATAATATTTTTTAAATGGCTTTGATTAGTAAAATCAAACTGTTGATTTCACGGCATGTGGTGCATGCTGTGGTTGCACTGAACCACATCTGGTTTCTGTTCCGTGTAAATGACATCTGTCCCTCTTTTTCTTTTCTTTCTGCAGATTGTCTGGTTGTATGGTGACAGATGAAAGCTGTTCTTATCTGGTATCTGCTATGAAATCAAACCCCTCCCACCTGAGAGAACTGGATCTGAGCTATAATCACCCAGGAGAGTCTGGAGTGAAGCTGCTATCTGATCTAAAGGAGGATCCACACTGCGCACTGGAGAAACTCAGGTGTGTGTGTGTGTGTGAACATTTGCACTCTCAAAACCCGGTACATTGCTGGCATGTCTTTGCCAATGATGTTTAGGCTTTGAGTTATTTCAACCTAAAGCTCTTAAATGGTTGTTTTTAAACAGTACCACCTGTGCACATTCAAATGTTTGTTTTTTTACTGCTTTTTTCAGTGGTCTAATAAGAGAGTCCTATACAATATACATTCAAATTCAAATGTATTTTTATAGCACCTTTTATGTTGGGTGTTTTTACAAAGCATCTTCACAGATATCCTGGTCCAAGCCCCAAGTGAGCAAGTCACTTTTGCAGTTTTGGAAAACATGTATCTCAGTTAAAAACAAAAAGGCTCTGCTTTTGGTCATTATGTTGAGAAGACAAATAAAGTGATCATGCACAACAATGACAATAAGAAATAAATCCATGACTGTAAGGACATGTTAGTATGAACAAGCAAGTAACTCAAGGAAGTGTAGCGTGGTGCAAGTGTACGAGTTAGAGTCCATGCAGGGATCATCCTTCTCTAGCCTAAAACACAGACTCAAGAGTTCAAGAGAAAGTGGGCTATTCACTAAAGTCTCCATGACATGACATCCAGCCAAGGATGTCAACTGCATTAAAGGCTAAAAGAGTCAAGAGGGTGAGTAGCATATGTGGATGAGCCTTTCTGATTCAACAGGAGGGTGAGTGGCACAGGTAGATGGCCCCATGGTGGTTGAACTGGTCATCAATTTGGACAGTGGGAGGAATTCGTCCCCTTGGAATTATATGGTTCTGTCTGCATTCTGAGCAGTTTTGAGATGTTGAGCTTCAAATATTTTGCATTCCACAACTGATTTGTGGAACACATCTCTTTTTTACATAAAAACGTTAGACAACTTAAATTTATTCCAGATATATTTAGTTTCAAAATTCTATTAAATTTGTAAATTAGTTTTTTTGGCACAAGTCAAATGCAGACAGAACCTTCTAATCCTGAGAACTCACTTTCTGCTTGGAGTTATAAAATTCTATCTGGCAGAACATGAAAAGAAGCAACAATTTTCTAGGTGCACAAACAGTTTGTACTGTTTGTGTATAAAGGTTAGTGCTAAATATTTTGTCCAGTGCAGAGGTCAGTTCAAGGAGCCATCATTATAAGTTTCCTTTAGCTCAGACAGAAACAGCTACTGTCATAATCTCTCCCAGCAGGTCAGTGTAGCATGTCAGTCTAATGGCCGTGTGAGGTTTTGTTTTATGTCAAAAATTAGACTCTAGTCAGCCAAAATGTCTTATTTTGGGAAAAAAAAAGAAAATGAATAGATGAATTTATTAATTAAAATAATGTTTGTTGTAATTAAGAGCCCATCCATTCAAATGTTTATTTCTTAATTACCTATTAAAACTTAATGTTTATAAAATAATATAATAAGACATTTTAAACAGCTGTAGGAAGACAGGCAGAGTTTCAGCAACGTTTTCATAAAGTTTTATGAACTTTATGAACTTTTCCCACAGTTACTGAGCAGAGGGGCGACATGGCAAAGAAGCAGAGCCCAATTGCTACTGTTGTTTGTATTTGAAGCCCTGACTGGTTCACAGAACCTTATAGAACTAAATTAGAGCTTGACTTTGGAAATAGAAACTTTTAGTTTTCTCAATAAAGTCCAAAAAATGCATATAACTTACAAAACACCTCATATAATGTAAAGAAGTTGTCACAATAAAAATATGTGAGTAGCTCAGTTTTGACAAAAATGTCAGATAGAGCGTCAGATTTGGCAAAGAAACACAGACACAATATATGGGATTAACAGAGTGCAAGCAAGCCTAGCAAGTCCATTACAACCTAAGTGAAAAGGGAGAGCCAGAAAGGTATCTCCCTCAAATGTCAGCGCCCCTCCGCTCCACCACCAACAAATCTGAGTGAGTGAGTGAGTGAGTGAAGTGGGATGACAGCACCAGCACTCCCAGTTTACCATAATATTCTATGACCATGAACCCCCACAAAAGTCATAAAAGCCATCATAGTATACTGCATTAATTCAAACTTGCTGTAACAACAGTGAAGATTTCTGAAGTTCTAGAAGATGATGGCACTTGCCAGCAACCTTTCAGAAGATCTAGGTAACTCACACACTTGGCTGATCCAGCACTGTTGATGCAATCATCAATTCCAGGCAAAGGAACAGAATCAGTTACAGAAACACAAAGGTAATCGGTGCAAAATAGATATTGTAGTGTTCAGTGCTATTAAATAAGACACAGCTTTCGCACAAGTTGTAGTGCTTTATCAACCAGGTTTTATTGTATATAAGCTCAGCTTTTCTCTAACACTTTACTCCAGCCTCAGTTCAACTCTAGCTGTCTGACTGACCCTCAGCTCTTCCTGCTCTAACACCTGCTCTAACCCCAGGTGGTCCTAGTCCCACCCTTTAGAGTAAAAATAAATATGTAAAGCATTGATACATATTGTAAAGCATAATTACATATTCTAATAAATATGTAAAGCAGTTCTTGAACATGCTACAATACAATATATTCCATCTGGATCAGTAACAAGGATACATGGCAAACTCCTTGGGTTACAGCTGGGCTTTGCTAACCCATGTTCTAATATATAGTTCACTTCTTGCTTCATACATGTACTTTATCAAATTTTCAGTGTCAGTTTGTTGGGCAATAAGAGGCATTAAATCAAACAGCATTCCCAAATTAAGTAAGCGAGCACCAACAGAACAAAGCTGATGGGGAACAGGACCATCTTTGTTTCCAACTGTATTTTCCTGAACAATTACCACAGCAACAGATAAGGCTTTCTCAGCATATGGGGCCCTGCTTCAACACTCTTGTCTTCAGGCATGATATAATTTTAACATATTAATATGGCAGAGTCAAGGCATGTGGTTGCGATCTGGAGTAAGTATCACATAATCTGTGGCATAATGCTTCAGCTGAATCGCCTAAAGACTGGAAATTATCACTGACATTGAAGAACCAAGTAAAAGTAATTAAACAACAACTGTTCCGGCACCCCCTGGGACTAGACCTGTTTCACCTGCAATGTTTCCACTACCTGGGAATAGAAATGAATGTCATTATCACAGTGGGCACAATTATAAGTGGAATTCATCAGGGAAACAAGCTGCAGCACACAACTGTAAGTAAAAGCAGGTTACCAGACTTAATATGTAGGAAGTGTTATGATGGATCAGGCTGTAACAAGAAAATGTATATGTATGTATGTGGTCATATTGTGCAAAATGGGTTGGAAAGAGAAAACATCATAAATCATAAATTGTTAATTTAATTAAAAGTGTTAAGGTTCACACACAGGACACTGGCAAACAGGCTTCAGGACTGACCCAGAACAAATTAACAAAAAATACTACTAACTCACAAAGACATCACTAAATCTGTACACATAAACCAAATTACAAGACCAATCGCTTACCTACCTCCCTGACTAGACATAGACAAAGGGAAGTGAGATCTTGAAACAGAGGAGACAGAGCCAAGGGCTGGATGTATGGAATGGGCACACAAACGCACACAAGCACAGGCGAAAAACACCATAGCACATGGCACAGGGGACCAACAGAGTCCCCAAGAAATATCTGATAGCTGTCCAAACACACGGATTGGATGCATGGAGCTAAAGAAATTGCCTACCCTTTAGCAGACATCACAGAACTCACAGACCTTAGTTCCATCATGTTTAAATGCTGGTTATTAACAGTATCTTTGCACTTCAGCATAGGTTTTTGTTGTGCCAAAATGACCAGGCCATGCTTAATTGTGTGCCAATTACAACATCTGGCAGGGGCGTACAATGTGATAATATTATGTTGTATTCAATTATTCATTATTCGTGAGTTATTTGAATTGTGTGGCGTGTGCAGTATCAAACAACCTTTCCAAACTGCCCAAAGTGGGGCTCAGACTGCATTTTTCTGAAGGTAGAAAAATGTGTGACCACCATGCTCTCTTTTTTCTTTGGTGTTCACACTGCATTGGGCCGAAAACTTGCTTGAAATGTTAAGCACTGCACTAATAAGTTTTCTCAGGCCATCATTTCCATATGTTCATGCAAAAAGTACTATTATTAACTAACAACCATAGTGCTGTTAGGAGGTAAGCTGTCATGCTTTTGTCACTAATCACTAGTCTTTCCAGCATTACTGTAAACTGTAAAGGTCCATCTTACATTGGAGCTGACTGGTCAGCACAAAAAATGTTCATGATGTAGGATACTGCCTTTTTTCAACATGCGGCTGCACAGGGCACATAAGTGGCACCCACTGTACAAAACAGTGGACAAACACAGCTCTCTCTTTGAAAACAATAGAAAAAGGCGCTTCTGCCTGCAGAAAATTATCCAGTGTGAACCCCCCAAAATCCATCTACTCATCGCTGTTGTGTGAGTTGTGACGCAGGTTCAGTTCTGGAGTTTATCGTAGTTGTAGTCCATCAGGAAATTAGGAAAAAACATATACAAATCATTTAGTTTGGGGCTGTAATGTCATATATAAATATGAAGCTTGCCTGATATATTATGATTAAATTTGAAGCTCGCCTGCTGAAAAAAATAAGTCCTCCCAAAAGTGTCTCTGGAATCAGGAGCTGAGATGCCCCCAAAAAATTAGAATTAAGAATAAGTTGACTGAATATTTATTATTTAAAGCACCTGTATTTAAATATTAAAATGCAGACCTTTTAGGGGATGCTTTTTTTTTGTTTGTTTTTCGTTTTTCACAGTATAAATGACAATTCCTTCTATTTAGTTTTAGAATCATTTTAGTTTATTTACATTTTACAGTTTACTTTTTAGAATCATTTTATTTAATTTCTAATTTTAAAAATATATTAGTTTGTGCTGCAGCGCTTTTATAACTTCTATAGCAATTTCACAACATGTTCATATACATACAGCCAAGGCCACCGGAACCACGGTGGCAAGCAGGCATTTGCCCCACCACTTTTCAAAGTACTGGCATCACCCCACTACATTTAGAGTTCAG